GCCCGCACGAAGCGTGTCAAACTTCAATAACAGGCCGTCCGCCTTGATGAAGGAGCGCAATCTGCTGTATAGTCGGCGATGAGCAGGGTTTGGCTCCCTCCGAAGAAGCTCTTTCTCACAAAAGACACCTCCACCATACCAAAAGTTCAATGCCATACAACAAACATGGAGGGCCCTTGATAGGTGCCTCGATCTTCGTCGAGCGCTAGAAAGGCCATCGGGCATCCTGCTAAAGACCCCCCAAGGAAGGGATCGGCACAGGGAACAAAGGCGGTGTCCTTGCAGGCCGAGGAGCGGACTGCATAGAAACTTGGATGGAAAAAGCCAAAAATGCCGAAAAAGGACTCCTCGCACGAAGCACCAGTTTAGTAAGCTTTGAAAGCCACGATGGATAGCTCACTTGTCTGGATATGCTCACACCAAACTGGCTCAGGAGAGAAAGAATCCCTCCAGGGATTGGTCCCAGGCAATGGGGAGCTGGAAGGCCTTGTAGGCTCACCACCAACCTTCAAACAAACCAAACAGGAGCCAGGCAGGCCCCTTCCGGAACAGACTTGCACAGGGCGCCTGTCCACATCGGAACAGGGGCTGCATTCTGTACGCTCTGGTATTTTCAGGCCTGGCCATCCGCGATGGCTTTTGGCCTTTTTGGAAACTTTGGCTTCCGGCGGGGGCTCGGAGATCCCTCCTCCTCCTTCTGCTGTTGGCCCTTCTTCACCCTTGTCTCCTGCCTCCTGTTCTGAAGCAAGTCGATCTCCTTCAAATAGGCCAATGAAATGCTTGCTAGTTGGGATGGGATCAATGGTGAGAAAGGACTGGCTGAAGATGTCATTGATGTCATCCGATCTTGGAACAAGGCCGTTGGCGGATCTCCTGTCAAAGTCAGGACGAATGCTAAGTCCCAGTTTCCCGCATCGAAGGCAGACTGCTCTAGTCCCATAACTGCCAACGCCAAAAACTCTCGGGTTGCATGAAAATCGCCCCAAGCTGCCGCATCGACTGCGTGCCCGATCACCCACATCAGGAGACCCGCCTCTTTCTGCCCTTTGAAGCCACCATACCTTTCGAGGTAAGTCAGCAGAGATGGAGCTCGGGCATTGAGCTCCTCTTCTGTCTTGGGAACCGTGTTGGATGGTTGCAATCTCCTGCACAACTGTTGCTGGAGCATCATGAAGAAGTTGGACTGGCCTACGGCCAGAGCATGCTGCAGTTGCTCTCGCTTTTGTGTGCCTTTTGTAGAACTCGAAGGAACCCCGGAGCTGCTGGACGGGTCTAGCCCAAAAGGGTCGTTGCCCTGAATGAGATGAGACACCAATGCTGTTAAGGCTGCCGACTGCTGTGCCAGGGCTTGCTCTGTAGGGTCTGGTGGGGCTCTCAAGGGGTCCCGGGGCTCGTCTGCCAAAACTGGCGATGCCATGGAAAGGGGAGACATCCTGGTCTTTGGAGGGAGGCCCAACAGCTGGAGGGCTTTGGCCGGGGTGGTTCTGGCTGGAGTGGCAAGACCCTGTGAAAGAGGGTGCATTTTGTGCTGAGCAACTGCTGGTCCCAAATCTCCTCGCCCTGTAGCAGGATCGACAAAGGCCTGCGGTCTGGTGGGGAGAGGAGGGACCGTCTGCATGTTTTGTTGTTCTTCCCTCTCTGAAGCCAAAAGAGCTACCTGAGCTGAGAGTGCATTGAGCTGCTCGGCCAGGATTGCTGTGGTCACTCTTTTGACACCAGCCTTCTTCGGAGCGGCGGGTTTGGATGCTGGCGGCTCTTCTCGAGCACTGTAAAAATGGATTCTGCCATCTGCTGAGTGCGCCCAGGACAAAGCCAACGTAAGCAGTTCAGGAGCAGAAGGCATCGCAGATGGTGTGCCATCCACAAAAGAAACAATCTCTGTCGTGGAGTCCGTCACGGGATCATACTCTCTCAAAAGCCCAAGGGCACTATTCGTGAAATCTGCCACGAGGATGGAACCTTTGAAACCAGAAGCAAAAGCATTCCCAAGTTCATCCTCCTCTACCATGTCAACCTCGAATTCATTTGAGGGCCCCACCAAATCTTCCTCTGTGAATCCACCAGGAGGGTGAAGAACGTTCTGTCTGAGCAAACCACAGGGAAGTGGCAGGAGTAGGCCACCTCTACGTGCATCAAGCGGCGTGCAAAATGCTTGGATCTCATCCCCTGTCGAACTGTGCGATGAAGGAACTGACAAAATGAGCAGGGATGGATCTGAAGCTTCTGAAGCGAAAGCTATTTGCTGCCGGTCCATCGCCACAAGGGCGGAACTGGGACCTTGGCGCCCGGAAAAGAAAATGTGGAGCTCAGTCAACGAAGGCACCTTCTCAATGAACTTCACCTCAGGAAACTCTCGCTCAAAAAGATCTGAGTCTCGCTGGCTGGTAGTCCTCACTAGATCAAATCCTGGGCCCTTCTGCAAGATCCAAAAAGCCGCTGGGAGATCTGGACGATAGGTGCTCCTGTATGGGGCTCTTGAGACCCAAAAAGCACGGGCCCAATGGCCAGCGCCGAAAGCTGCCCTTGCTCTCTCTTCAGGATCTGCACGCGCCGAGGTCAAATGACGTTTGGCAGAGTCAACACAGAATTGTGGAACCTCAGGAGGCCCTTCCTCAAAACTAAAGAGAGCGTCCCTCACCAAAAAGCCGGCAGGTGCCCCTGGAATGGCCTTGCCGTTCTCAACCAACTCCCAATGGGAACCACCTGAAGTGGTAGAGGATGCCCTAGCTGGCTCAGCGATATCTTCTCGCACTTCCACCCCTGAGAGCTCTCGGCTCCTAATGGTCAATGTCAACTCACGAACAGCCGCGGCCAGGTCACGAAGATCACGGCGTAGAGATTCTTGCTCACTCATGCAAATAGCCTTGCAATCTGTTCGTGGTCCTCCTCCTGACCCTGTCGTCCACCACCGGAGGTTGGGAATGCAGGGCCTGAGAGTGGAATCGAAGAAGAATCCAAGAGGCCCAAAGACCAAGAGCAATGCCAAGAACCAGACCTATGGAGAGGCCTGCAATGAGTGGCAAGAAGATCGAGGAGTGACAGTGGGCAGGACAGGCCAAGGTGGAGGAAAGGGAGGAGAAAGTAGCAAGAGCTTCAAGCACGGCAGCCCCCCACATATACCTAGAGCTTGAGAGGCGCCATTGAGTCACGGTTGTAGTGTCACATGTGTGTGTTTAATTGTGCGGGGTAAGCACCACTACAATCAACACAAGGCTACGCGCCAATGAAACGACTCATGATCTGTGTCACCCCAGCTAGTAGCTTAGCACTTGATGCACACTCCTGTTGTCCGTGTCAAAACCCCAACCTCTGATCACGTTCAGAGATTAATATTTCTTGTTTCTAATATATAGCTTCTTGTTACTAGTAGCGTTGCTCCTAGTAGCGTTCTTGCCCCTAGTAAGGCCAGGAGCCCCTAGTAGCGTCCTTGCTCCTACCCGCCACCCCCCATGTCACTTTCAAAGGCTGAAAAGGTCCTAGGGGTTCCTGGCATTACTAGGAACAAGAAGCTACTAGGGATTGACAGGCTTCAAAACAAACACAGTTCCCAGGAACCAAACCACGCTGGGGAGCACCAAGGTCGCCAGCTCGTGCAGGTGGTCAGCCTGACACTGCAGACGTTGCAGGCACTACAGCATAGCAAACTCAACGAGGCAAACCGAAACGTTGCTAATTATGTCCCTGAAACATGGCTGGGAGTGACAAACAGGCCTTCCATTTACTGATTGATGCCAACAGGGAGCACCTGCCATGGAATCTGATCATTCAGATTCGGTTGTAAAAACGCACACGAAGAGCATGAAAGGTCTGAAGCTAAAAGGGACATGACAAGCTGTCTACAAATGAAAAGTGTATGTGCATGCCACTACAACTGGACAATCACAGCTCTTGCTCTCAAATGAAGTTAAAGTTTGGCCAGCGCAGCTCGTAGGGTCCTGCTGCTCGCTGCACTTGTGTGACTCTATTGGGTTTAGCCACCAGCTCCTGATGCACTAAGTGACAATCTGAGCATTAGATGACGACACATGCATGCTCCTGACCCACGTTTCTTGACATGGTTCATAGTTTCCTGACACTGTACAACTGCTCGCATTGCATCTTCTATCAGATTCTATCATTTGAGATCCGCTGTGGGGAGCAATGACCGTGCAGCCCAATACTTGGATTCTGCTACCATTATGTTGTTGTTGCAACAACGACAAAAGGTACCGTGTGGTCGCAGTTGCACAATGTGTGTGCAGTGTATATGGAAGGGTGGGCGGGGTTGAGGACTGTGCTGACGCTCGTGTGTACTTTGCTATGATGGCTTCTTCTGCTGCACAACTGATGCAGGTGCAAAAGAGGGCTACTTACTACTTCACCCAGCAACTTTGCTTGCTTCAACCAAGACTTCACAATGTGGTCATGCTCTTCTTTTAACTATTCTGTGCTTGCCTTCGAGTATCCGTTCACACCTATGAGACAAGGAGTCCATGGGCGGCGGCCCTTGGATCAGTCGCAGATTTGTTTCAAGCCGTTTGGAGAGAGTGAGTTTGCAATTTTGCGATCAAAGCACACTCGGAAAACAAGGTGGTCGGCAAACAGCCGACCTGGAAACTGGAACCACCTGAACCAAACCGGTCAAACAGAACACCTCAACCTTGAAGGAATATGGAATCTCCTCCACATCAAGGCCACTAAAACATCTCTAACATTGTTGCCTATTGCAAGTGGGCCTGGCATGGCTAACTTTCTTTCATGGCTTAGTAGAATGACTAATCATTGTGAATCTCCTCAGCCGCATCCAGCTCCTTCATGGCCAAACCCAAGTTGCCTGGCCAACACAGAAGGGGCCTTGCTTTTGGGACAGCTCATCTGAAAGCTGCAACTGTTTCATGAAGGTCTCTTGCACAAAACTTTGGCTATCTTGCGGCTACAGTAGTCATTGGCTGAAGCTTGGCATTGAGTTGACATTCGTGGAATCATCCTCCGCTCCGCTCCATAGAAAGCTCCATTTTGAAGTGGCATTTGCACATGTTTCTAGCTATCTATGTACTCTTGGGAAACACTCCCCTTTCAGTGCGCACGGCATCCAGGAGAGGCTAAGCCACTCAAATCAGCTTCAACTTGTCCACCTGTGCAGTTACGGTCGTCCAATTCGACCGCGCAAGAAAATGCCATGTTCGATGCGGGGTTGCGCCTACTTTGTCCTGACGGCTTGCGACAATGGATTTGCACACTCAAACGCGTACTGGATGTAGGCCTCATCTCTACACAATGGCAAGACTAACATTTCCAAACTATGAAACAAGCGCGGGAAGCAATTCAATATGTGAATGTGGAGCTAGGGCTAGTTCAACCCTGTCGTTCTTGGTGCTGGTACAACATCTCAGCCCAGCTTTGTCTGCTCAGTTGCTCCTGTTGAAACACGGACCTCAAAGCCTTGAAAAATATGCGAGGGCCTGCGAGGGTTGCTAGGACGAGGTACCAGGTAGTCAATGTTCAGAGATGGCGACAAATACGAAGAACAAGGGAGGGGAGGAAGGGAAACAAAGTGGATGGAGCTGTACTACAAATCAAGTGCCACACGGAGTTCCAATCAAAATTGCTTGGCAGAGTTCTAGGCCTTCTCTTCCAAAGTCACTATTGTTGCAACAGTGGACTAGAAGAAATCCTCAACGTCAATAAGTTTCGACTTTACATCCTATCACAACAGCACTTGCACACTGCACTGAGTATTCTGCTCTGTTGAGCCTTTCAGGAAAATGCGAAGGATATCGCACATCCTTGAACAAAATTGCCAGGAAGTTTTTGCACAACTCACTTTTTGTCAACCAAAAACAGCTCAGGGTGGCGGACCCCAGATTCTGTGATTTGGATTACAGCGCAAACCCGCTCAACATGGTCTTGCAGGTTGGCAATTCCTCAAGACAGGGTGTAAAAGTATAGAATGAAGAATGCAAAAGCTCTGGGAACTGCAAACATAAATATTCAAGTCTCTGACGTTTCACTATAACCTCCTCTGTCAGCATATTGGCAAGGTTGTCACCTCGGCACATACTCAGGTCATCTCAGGTCGTTCAAGTGCTTCTGGCACTACTCAGTTCAGTATTGCACCTTCAGCAACAGGAAGCGCCTGCATCCAGTTGCTCGACAAGGGAAAAGCAAACATCCCATTTTGTCACGGTCAGATCGGTCAAGCTCCCGACCTTTTGCAGGACTTTCCACACAAGAATCAGCATATGGCCAGGAAACCTCTGATGGCACAAGGAGGCGTCTCACACTCTCAACTTGAGCAGCAAATATATCGATGTAAGCCCCTGACACCTCTTGAAGGGTTCGGCACCTTCTCCTCTTGACCTGCAACAATGGTGCTTTGCGAACCCAATCCCAACTAAGTTGGAGTGTGATGAGTGTGACATGGTATCCACATACCTTCAGTCTGACGAGCAACACCATGAGCAGTTTCCTCCAACTCTCTTGCCGCATCATCCTAAGAACAGCAGAACTGAGAGCCCTGCAAAGAAAGTCAGCTCCTGAGGAGGCGACATTGGCTTGGGCCGCCTGATTGAAGTGAGCATGCCGATGAAGTCTGCCCTCACGGATTTCAGTACGAGTCAGGCAATCAGGGTGGTGGGTGGATACAAGGACTTCAGGAATCACAGCGTGTAGCCTCCGGGCGGGGTAAATCTGCCAAGAAATAGGTCCTAGTAATGCTAGACGGGGTTTCATGAATGATGTCGTGTTGCGAAGTGGGCACTCATGCTCCACTGCATCATCAGAGAACATCAAGGGTGACTCCCACAGCAGGACAGCGGAGGGGAGCAAAAAATAACAGTCTAAGTTTGTCACAGCTGATCAGTCGAAGGTTGCTCTACCTCAATCGACTCAAGTGGCGAGAACAATGGTCACAAAGTAGGTGAAGCAATACCCTCAACTTCCAGAATGGTCCAGGTGCGTTGCCCAAGTTTCTCCTGGCCACAGCCTGAGCAGCTTGTAAAATCCGGTGTGGGTGGATCTCTTCATCAACGCTGTTTTCGCGCTGCTTTTGCTTCCTCCCTTAGAGACAGGCTGCAGCTTCGGGTTCGCACCCTGGTCAAGATTGCGTTTTCATGTATTCTCTCCCTCTCAATGCCATCGGTGGGCCACTAGGCCTGCACAGTCAAGTGGCCACTGCTCGATTTTGAACCGGAAGCGAAAGCCTCACTTTGCCAGTTATTTCAAGAGGAACTTCCAATGCTTCAATGCGCGTCATGGCAGAATCTTTATTTCGAGCTCCACACCATTGGAACTCAGCCTGTGCGCACAAGGACTCCCAAATAAAATTCACACTTTGCGTGTCAAGAATGCTAAATTGAGGCCACAGCGATTGGACCAGGAACTATAAGGACACCATGAGCATTGGGCACTGAAATCAAATCGTGACCAGTACGTGACGAAATTATCAATTTAGTGATTCTCAGTGAAGGTCTCTATTGTGCTGATGTTTCTTCCCTTTCAGTCAACAGTGAACGATAAGCAGAGAAGGTACTTTCATGCTCTAGAGCTGTCTTACCAAGCCACGAAAAGCTACACAGTAGTTTTGGCCAAATGCAGCGGTCTATCAAACAAAGCAAGCACAAAGTATCAAAAGGCTGCATGTATGAAGGGTCTAGGGCAGGTGAAGTATTGCCAGAGGCACGCCAAGTACTTTGGTCTTGCCAAGGTTGCAACTGATAGAGCCTGGCCAAGCCTCAGTTTACATGACCCACACCAAAACTTCCCACGAACAGAGATATGTCTCCGAGGAGTGTGCACATATGAGCGTTAACGGCTTTGGCATTTATTCTCTCCTCAAGTTGCGAGTCGCGGTTGGACAGTCAAACAACAACCGCTAGCTGCTCAGCTCAAGCAGGCTATTCAAAGCAGTCAAACAAGTTTCAAGGAACGCTTCCTCTAAAGCTTCGATGCTTCGAGCAAATTTGCTTTCTGGACTCGAAGGGCCACTCCTCGCGTACCTGGGACAAGGCAACATTGCTCGGTCCATGTCTCTTGTATGTGTCACTTGGTGGAAAGCTGCTGTCAACAGCTTACTTTACGCTCCTGCGACTGCCCAGCGCTGCTATTGAAACAGAACTATGCTTGCTCGTGCACAGTGTTGCGCGACAATGATTGACGCTTCGCTTATATATGTTGGAGGGAAGGGAAGTAGGGTAGATGAACACGACGGTTGGCGCTCTGTTCAGGAAGCTCAGTTTAGAGAGCGGGAGTGGGTTCTGTTCTGAGAATCTGAAGTTCTTGTCTTCACACAGGGTGGTATGGGGTGATGAAGGGGGGGGTTCCTCAATAAGAGACCTGTGCCACAAGGGGCTTTGCCATGTCAAGAAGAAGGTCCCTCTCCACCCCAAAATCACCGCATCAGCACCCTGCTTCGCTGTCTTGATCGTTGGCTGCATTAGCTTCCCTCTGGGGCGCCACGGGGCATGGATTTGAGACTCCAAGTTCATGAAGCAGCAGGGTCCTAGATTTATGTTGGGCAATGGCAGCCATACATTACCAACCATCAAATAGTTTTTTTGCAAAAAACAAAGAACTGAAAAAAAGAAAAGCAAATGAAAATGCAAAAGCAGCGCAATTTGCTTTGTTTTTGCATGTGTTTTGTTTTTCCTGGTGCCACTTCTGCACTTATGAGGACTTTTACCCGTCAGCAATTTTTGCCGTAGGCTCCTAGAAAAAAAGCAAAACAACAGCGAAAAAAATGCGAAATAATGCGAAAATAAAGCGAACAAATGCGAAAATAGAGCAAAAAAAAAGAAGAAAAAAAAAAACGACAAACACTACCGTTTTTTGCTTTTTTGTTTGCTTTACCTTTTGTGTTTTTTGCTTTATAATGTGATTTTGGCTCCTTGTATCTATGGCTGGCGCGCCCGACATAATCCTAGATCTTCGATCAACTTCAGAAAGCGGTGAGTCAGAAGGGACCTCACTCGCCCTGGCAAACCTTCCCCCAGCTCATGCGAGGAGGATGCCCTGTAACTAACCCTGAGCACAGCCCTCATGCACGTGGGTCGGCCATCTGGGGCGTCAAACGGAAAATCTAAAGTTGCCAATCAACAGATTGTTCAAAATGCATAACATGACACGATACAAAGATTATGAAATGCTGCCTTAATCTGAAACTTCTGCTTAGTCAAACGTGCGTGCACTGACTACATAGGGAGACGCTGCTTCCTGTGTACAGAGTCTCCCACAATGACAACGCTATTCAATCAGGCTGTGACCCAAGCCACTGCATCAGCACCAAAGCGTCCATACATGGCAAGGTGGTGCGACACAACAGTGCGGTTGAAGGCCTGTATAGGTTTGGAGCCGCAGCGACCCCATGCCTTTGGGTGTAGTTTGTACTGTGCTTCAATATCCACTGGATAAACGTTCTGAAATTGCAGAAACAGGCAACGCTTTGGTGGTTGAAGGTGGCTCTTTCCAAGCCATAGGTGTTCATGCCCAAAGCTGCTGAAATGTATTGAAGTCGAAAAGGGGAATGCCACTTACATCCCTGCGACTCGTCTCCGCGGGTAACTTGCACTATGCAAACATGAGCATGCACAAATTATGCACCTGTCAAACCTCCCCCATATGTCACCAGAACCCACAGAGCTTGCAGGGAGCTGGCGCACTCTGCTAATTCTTTCTTGCTCTTTTGCAAATGACTCCTTGGCACTTGGCCCAGACTCAGACGGATAATTGTGTCCATCTCTAAACCACATAATTAGGGTAAGGAATGGCTTCTCCCATAGGCAGACTTATTAGTGGGAAAAGTGATTCCATGAAAGAACTAGGGTCTGAACTCTGGACGAAGAATCCATCGGATTGCAACTTGCGTCAATTTACTGCAGTAGCGTTAGTGTTTCAGTCCAAGAGACTTCTCAATCAGGCAAGGAGCAAAGCAGCACGATTTCTGGCGATGTCCAGCTTGGAATCCCCATGGACTTCCTGTCAAGACTGGACATTCTCCAATACAATAGCACGCTAGCACAGTCTCCAATAAAAGAGCCTCAGCAAAGAAAGAATCTGCCAGGAACTCATGAGCAGAAGAGAGCAGCAATTGGAACCTGTGCACCACTTTGTGAACGTGAGTCTATATATGCATACAGCACGAAAGGATGCAATGACATGATTTCTCCAATGCATTGGCCTTCGAGGAAGAGGCACTGGCAAGTCCTCACACAATTTACTATTGAAAGTTAAACGAGTTCTGTCCCTCGAAGTCCTTTAAATGGGAAGCTGACCAAAGGGCCCGAACCTGTCACAAGCTGCTGGGTGGATGAAAGATTGGACCAAACCTCTCAGTGGTTTCTTTTGACATCTTTTTTGGCATCTCTCTCTCTCTCTCTCTGACTCTGACTCTCTCAGTGCTTTCAGTCTTTGAGGTCTCAGCAGAGCGTAGCATCATCTGTCGCACGCGCAAAGGGTGACAGCAGCTCTTGGCCGTCCACCTGGTCGCCAACTGGAACCAATTCGTAGCTAGATGCTCGTAGGCTACTTGAAACAGACTACTAGGTTACTAGGTAACCTGCTACTAGCGAACGGACAGAAGATAGCTCACGCACTATTCTTTTGGTTCCTAGGTTCATTTCTAAGTAGGTAGTAGAGCTACTACCTAGCAGCTTCTTAGGCTTGGACACAGGGCTCCGGCTTAATGACTTAATTCCTAGCTTCTGGGGAAACTGAATTTTACAATTATCTCAAATGGTCTCAGGTTGCCTTGCACCAACTGGAACCTGAGCCATACACCAGAGTTGCATAAGACAAGCCGATTCACATCAGTTGACATGCCAACAACCTTCAAGAACTGTATTGAGGCCATCACCCGCTTCAAATCCATTGACTTGCTTTGCTCTGGGTACACTTGAGCAAGTCGAACCTGAAGCGAGAATCGTGCACAAATGCTTTGGCATGAGGAAAATAGCGTGTAATAATAGTAGTAATATCTCTAACTTCGAGTGCGTGGCTGCTGCATGGTACATCAGCAAGCCTTGCGTGACCTGGCATCACCATTCCTGACTTCTCATTCAGAGTCTGAGATCACGACAATAGGATTGACATACAAGTAGGCGAGCTTGCCAAGGCTGCACGCATTCGAGGTGCTCCGCCTGGCTCTGAATTGGACTCCTGCAACTTTGCTGGCGTGAAGGTTCGATACCTCCAAGCCTACAAGGTCCAAAGAATTTGAGGAACTGGAAGGAGGAAGATGAGGAAGGGAAGCTAAGCAGTTCAATGCAGTTCAAGCATATATTCATAGTCCGCATCCTGTGGCTTTGGCTGGAAGCATTGGGTCTCGGGACCTTGGCATTGATTGTGCGCAGCATTAAAAACGTTTAAGCAAAGTTCTTCATTTCATTTTTGAAGAAGAGCCTTTGAGCCTGAGGCTTGGCAGGGTTCGAAGACCGCAGTGTGCAGGAGCCTGCAAGTGGAGTCACATGATCACCTCTGTTCTGAAGAATACACTCTGTACCTTACGAGGAGGCGCCTCGTTCTCGTCTTCGGAGAGGTCATCAGTGTACGACCTCGATTCCAAATACAAAGGCACATGGCTTGGAGTCTTGGAGGATGCCAACTTGAACAATGGAGTTTGAACAGTAGGTTGGAGGCCATTGCTGTTAGGTTGGAGGCCATCTTGTCTAGGTTGGAGGCCATCGCTATTAGGTTGGAGGCCATTCCTATTAGGCTAGAGTGGCTAGACTCTTGGATGATGCTAACTTGAACAAGTTGCGAAAAGACAACCCGTTCATGTTCAGCGTCCAGCGCTGTGCGGACCAGTCGAGGACCTATTGGGCTTGGCAACAGCAGAAAGTGGCCTCAGCTGGGTATCATTGCAAGTGAAACAAGGTTTGAAATAAGTTAGTTGGATTGGTTGAGAGAGACTTGAAACAAGCAAGTCCAAAAACGACCTGAAGGGTAAGACTCGGTTTGAACCATTGGAAGTCAAACTGATTTCAAGTGTCTCTGTTCTTTGCCTCCGTCTTGGTCACAGCGACGGGTGAGAGTCTGGCAGCGGATAGCAATCAAATTCACAGTACATCGAAGCCGATACATAGAAGCTGCAAAGCTCTCCCAAAATCATGCCGCCTCTAACAATGAATGACTTGACTCTCTGAGGGATCGAGGATCAAAGGCCTTAGAGCATCCGCCGTGTTCTGTGTACTTTCGTCTCTATGTATGAAAACAACGGCTCATTGTCTGTCTTCATCACTTTTCTGCTGTGCTATGTTCAACGTGTGCTTGTCCCCTGTTTCCATCAAATTCTGTGCAAGCGGCAAACTGCAATAGCACTCTGAGAGACGGTCGGGACTTGCTTCCCGCAAGCATTTTTGTTCGTTCGTCTTGTATGCCTGTGCAAATCAAGCACAAAATAGCAGGGCTGAGCTGCATCGACATTTGGATTGGAGACTGGAAATCCTTCGAATGGCTGTCAGATAATTCAAAACTCCTGCACATTCGAGGAGTGCATAATATGGCCTTTGCAATGTCTTCCAAATAGGGAATGT